TTTTTTAAAAATTTAATAAGTGACCCAAAACACCAACCAATGAACAGATTTTAAAGGAAGTGAAATAAAATACTAGTACTGTGTGGTTCTACGACTTTTTTTTGTAGTCCTCGCCAGCTTATCTAATCTTAATCTTTATGTCGTAATTTGTTTGTTTTTCTGGCAAAATATCGCAAGACCGTGCTTATCCCCGCCTTGACCAGGTTTTACTAGTGTACTCTACAAATTTGTTAATAAATCTATATCAACATATGGGCGTGAAAGTAAGCTGTGGGTTGAGCAAATGTAGCAGAGACAAACCGGCTAAGTTGGCGCAGGGGATTACATATTTAGATGTTTGTTTGTTTATTTATTTATTTCTATAATGAACAACTAAATTGAACATACTAAATTTCCCATTTTTTTCTTCAAAAAGACGTAATATTTCTCCGAGATCGGGGCTGTGAACGAAAAATGTAATTTGGATAATTTTTCGAGGTTGGGAAGATGGTTACAATTTCAAACCCACCAAAAAATATCTTTTTTGAGGTGGTCCTCGTCTATAAGCCCACCTCCTAATTTTCCCGATTTTACAGTTTCAGGCCCCTGGGCTTATACTCGGGGAAGTACGGGAATACAAGTACAACATTCAGAGAAAATCATAGTAAATAGGAACATAGTAAATAGCTCTCTTTGAGCTAATGAAACATTGTGTGCCACCTTTATAATAACAAGAAAATGTTCTCAAAGCATTGTGTATCAATTTTGTAATATAATTTCAAATAATTGCGCTCACAATAATTCAAATAATCTTTAAGTCAGTAAGTCTTGCTATTTGGTACTTAGACTGATCTTAATACTAGTATACTGGGAGATAGAGGTATTTGATATGTCTATTAATAAGGTTATACAATTATTACTATCACCACTTTTCCATAATGTCTTCATTTATATTTAATGAGTTAGGTTACTAGACAACACAACACAACAAACTTTCATACAACATTCATTGTGCTATCAAAGCGTTATAGTCGTCGCACTGCTTGTTAGAATTTTTATGTAAACAAACAATGTATTTTACACAAGTTGTGTATGTCGCATGGGACCCAATGCACTTTACTAGAACATAGTATATAGATCAACGAACCTTTAAAACTCATATTTCAACGAAAAACAAAAGATCTATTAACTATTGGATTATTTTATCATTAATTAATAACTGAAAACAGCCACAGTCAGTGTCCGTGTTATTTCTTGGATGCAGTGACTCATAGGACTGGCGATATTTGCTTGCAAGGTGATGAGTGTTCTTCTTCTGCAAGATTTTTGCACACTGTTTCTAAAATTTTGATTTGAAACATTCTGTTCATTAAATGGAATAAATATAGCCAATCTAGGCGCATTTGTAAACACATTTGTGAATTAATAATTACAAATAACTGGAACAAATCTTATCCTGAACACCTTTCAGTCTGAATGGATACATTCAGCATTAAATATGCATAGTTGGTTCAACCAATCACATCACATCGCACCAGTGAGTGTGTATATATAGCAAGCAAATTAGTCTGTGAAATGGAACTAAGCAAAGTACTTTTAATTAATAATATCTTCTGCAATCAGTGACTATTACAGTAACATTTAGACACAAAATAAAATAGGAGAGAAAATACAAAATTACGAACATACAAAGAATCTAATTAGTAGATGTCTGACTATGTATACATTGAGTATATGCATAATGAGTTGTTACATTGATACAATTAATGTTGTAACACTGGGAGATTATGGCTAACTATTTAGTTCGAAAGTCACCAAAATATTATTAGGAAATACATAACATCAACATTTTGGTAAAAAAAAAAATACTTCAAAAGCGGAAACGAGAGATACTAATATTTTTTGTTCGAATTGCAACATATATATTTCATAATCTCTTCACAGGCATTTGAATACGGACCAGAATTTGCAATGTGATTTTGTATGCTTCGAATAAAAATTAAATATAACTATTCGTCCAGGAGGTAACTGATTGGGCGAAATTAAAAAATAAATAAGTTCTTAAAATCTGTAAATAATAATAAGTATGAGTTTGTTTTGTCTTATATGCTGCAAACAATTCAAAAAGACATTACAAAAATAATCTGTGAAGTCATAAAAAATTATACTGCTACGAAAACAGTAGTAAAGTTACCTAACCTATTGATACATCATATCATTAATATGGTGTGACGCAATCAATCTGTCCATACTAAATTATGCATAATAATTTAAAAGCAAATGTACACAGTTTTGTGTGGCCACAGTGTCAACTTCACCCAGCAGCAGAAGTAGTCGTGGCCGAGTCATCAATATATCACTGTACAAAATGCATATCTTTTCATCAAGTACTGGGATTATTCTGACTCATGTCTGTTGCACTATTGTAGTCGGACAATATACCATTGTAAGGAAGCAGTAATTGTAAACACCATTGGTTCTTTACTCCCTTGTTGCACAGTGCAATGTACAATGTCGTATATAAATTCTATTGTCAGAATGTGACGTTTATTGACGTGTATGAATGACGCTCGAGAAAGGTCATCTAGTTTTGACCACCTGAATTAACCTTTAATAACGTTATGTTTGGAAATATGAAAATGTAATGTTTCAACCTAGTTTCCAGGTGAAAAGCGTAATTTTAAAGCAGGGCAGTCGTGACCCGCGCATGCGTGAGATGGCCATAGCGTGTCATTGTTTATAAACAAACGTCTACCCATGAGCCTTTGCTTTTTTAGCGTGTGTTGTTATCGTCGCTTGAGACTCAATTACCGCGCGTGCGCAGATGACAACCTTCCCGCTTCAAACTTAGTAAAGTGTTAAACTTTGATTTGGTTTTGGATTTATTAAACAGAAATAATGTTCACCCAGAATCGCATTCACGCATATTGATGAGTACATGACTAAATTGTAGATTCATATGAATATTTAATTACCATTTGTGCCCCAAAGCACTTATGTACAATGTATTGTCATCATGGCAAATGTACAACATAGAGTAATGTATAGTAATTCAACATAAGTTTACAAAAACATATTTGAAGGCTAACA